CCCGCTTTGGGCGAATACCTTTCAGCGCATGCAGAGTGGCAGTGTTGCCACCGTTCGCCTACACAACACCTCAGTCCGTTCATCGCTCAGCTACGTCTCGCAGTTCGTTCCGCTCGATCAGAAGTTCGCCCGCAGCGAACATCGCAAGATGCTCAGTCTCCTGCCCAACACACTTCGCACAAAAATAGATCTCATTGCCATGGCGGAATGGCGCCCGCCTCTTGCACCGCGTTCAGCTCAGATTTCAGCCGTCGCCGCTGCAATCCGCTCAGCCACTTTCACGCTCCGTGGGGAATGGGAGCCATTCTTCACTGCCGATCCATTTCCAGCAGCTGCCGCGGCCGCGGCGAGCCGCGCAGCTGCCTGTGAAATTCGCGAGGCCCCGAGCGCTGAGCCACCGCGCCGCCCCAAGGTGCAGCGCGCGGTCGCGCTCGCGCTGCTGCGGGCCTCCTTCTCATCGCCCCTCACAGTCTTGCTCGAGAAGTGCATCGCAGCCTGGGGCGTTTCTCAGCCGCCTCCGCCCCCAGAGCCTGCTGCGCGATGCGCTGCTCTCACGAATGCCACGCGCACCGCCTGCCCTTGCTGGCGCTGGGCGGTATATAAGACACTCGCAGGTGGATGGGCGACGACCCACCGCATGCACGTTCTCCTGCAGAAGTCGCGCGTGTTAGGGTGCCCAACAGCGCCCGATTCATTCCCTCACTACCTCTCCTGCTCGGTCCTCCTGAGCCTCCTCTGCTCCCCCGACTCGCCCCACCTCCACAGCACGCTTACACCCTGGGGCTTGAGCCCCGACACAGCCTATCCGTCTGAGCCTGCGGACGAGTTCTCGTTAACGCGGTCGATTCAGCGGATTGCGCTCGCCATTCACTTCTTTAACAAAATGAAGCACGCCTCGCCGACCCCAGCTATGACAGCTGTAGGGTTGTGCCCCGTCAAAGCATTGCTCTGGAAGTAGACGCGCGGTAGACGGACAGGAGCGGACAGATTTCTTGCCCTCGTCTCGCTTCTTGCCCGCTTGCCCTCGTCTCTTCCTCTTTGGGTACGTGCATTCCTCCTCCTCCTCCTCCTCCTCCTCCTCCTCCTCCTCCTCCTCCTCCTCCTCCTCCTCCTCCTCCTCCCCCTCCTCCTCCCCATCCTCCTCGCCCTCCTCGCCCTCCTCCTCCTCCTCCTCCTCCTCCCCCCTCCTCCTCCTCCCTCCTCCTCCTCCCTCCTCCCTCCTCCCCCTCCTCCTCCTCCTCCTCCTCCTCCTCCTCCTCCTCCTCCTCCTCCTCCTCCTCCTCCTCCTCCTCATCCCTCATCCTCATCCTCATCCTCATCCTCATCCTCATCCTCATCCTCATCCTCCCTCCTCCCTCCTCCTCCTCCTCCTCGTCCTCCTCCTCCTCCTCCTCCTCTCCTCCTCCTCCCTCCTCCTCCTCCTCCTCCTCCTCCTCCTCCTCCTCCTCCCCCTCCTCCATCCTCCCTCCTCCATCCTCCATCCTCCCTCCTCCCTCCTCCCTCCTTCGTCGTTATCCCAAGGCCGGATGCAATTTGAGCCTTCTGAGGAGGCCCGCCCCCCTCTGCTCCCCCCCTGGGCGCGCCGCCCACAGAGGACGAGGAGGGGGCCGCTCCGCGCAGTGGCGCCGCTCAGACCCCGGGCATCGTGGTCCAGATCTCGCAGGCCGCCAAGGCCAGGAAGCGGACGCCACAGCTCTGGGCCAACCTCTTCGACCAGGCGCTGGCCGCGCAGGACGAGCTATCGCCGCAGGACATGGCCAGCGTGCTGTGGTCCATGTCGGAGTCGCGCTACATCCGAAGAAGAAGAAAAGGGCTGCGCAAACCCAAATCTCCGACGATATGATGTTGTTCAGTCCGACGTGTTTCCTCGATGTCGTCCTCCGCGGCCGGCTAGGGGGCCCCGGGGCCATCAAGAATGGATCCGAGACCACAAAGAGATGGGTCGGGAGTTTCTTGGGGCCACGGGTTCGAAAGTACCTTGCCGAAGGACCCAACAATGTATGATTCAGAGTGCCGCGGTTGTGATGATCATCTTCGGTGGAGCTCCCTATGGTGCGACGAACAGCGTGACGGGTGTGTTGGAATAGGTACGGGGGACGCATGCGAGCATTGCCATTGGGGCCTTCGGTGGAGCTCCTTGCGGGGCCACTAAACGTGTGAGCGGTATGACGGTGTGCCGTAGTGGGTGCGGGGGACGCATGCGAGAGACACCATTGGGGTTTTGGGTGGTGCTCCTTATGGGGCCACGAAACGTGTGACGAGTGTGCTGATATGGGTGGCGGACACTCATGCGAACGGTGCCACCACTGGAGCCTTCGGTGGAGCTCCCGATGGGACAACGAAATGTGTGAGTGGTATGCCGAAATCGGTGGCGGGGACGCATGCGAGCGATGCCATAGGGACCTTCGGTGGAGCTCCTTATGGGGCCACGAAACGTGTGATGGGTGTGCCGACATGGGTGGCGGGCACGCATGCGAACGGTGCCACTGGGGTTTTCGGTGGAGCTCCGTATGGGGCCACGAAACGCTCGAGGAGTGTGCCGAAGTGGATGGCGGGGACGCATGCGAACGGTGCTATCGGTACCCTCGGTGGAGCTCCGCATGCGGCCACGAAACGTTCGAGGGGTGTGCCGCAAATCGGTGGCGGGGATGCATGCGAAAAGTGCCACTGGGAACTTCGGTGGAGTTCCTTATGGGGCCACGAAAAGTGCGAGAGGTGTGCCAAAATTTTGCGGCGGGGACGCATGCGAACGGTGCCACTGAGACCTTCGGAAGAGCTCCGTATGGGGCCACGAAACGTCTGAGGGGTGTGCCGAAATGGGCGACGGGAACGCATGCGAACGGTGCCACTGGGGCCTTCGGTGGAGCTCCTCCTGGGGCCACGAAATGTGTGAGAGGTGCGCAGGCACGGTGCGCGAACACGGAGCATGTGAGAGGGCAGAGGTAGGGATGAGAGGAGGGAAGAAGGGGAGGAGGAGTGAGCGAGTGAGGAACGCGAGGCGTTGTCTGCTCAAAACGAGGACCCAACACCACAGGACGGTCGGGAAAAACAGATTGTGGGCAAGCCAAATAAAGGATTAGCACACCAGCAGGTGCTCCACAGAAGTTCCTTCTACTCCGAAACCTCTGGGGGCGCCCGCAGAAACCCTTCGGCACCTCAGGAAGCTCAAAGCTCGACGAAAGACGTGCCCCCAGATTGCTTATAGCAGAATGTCTGATCGCATGTGCTTGCTGGAAACATCAAATTCCAGAGGTCCGCGCGGATTCCCTGGGTCGGCACCGGACTGCTCCCTTGCGACGCCTCCGGCGCCGCCCCTGCGACGAACCAAGAAATCCGCGCGGGCCGCTGAAACGTCATGATGATGCCGGTGTTCTTCTTCTGCACGTGCACCACGCGCTCCTGGACGAGTTCACGCGCTCGCTGGCCTTCCGGGCCGACGTCAAGGCGATGGTGACGGCAATCCGATGATCCTCAGGCCGTGTTTGGCCCAGTGTGTGTGTGTGTGTGTTTGCGTGTGTGTGTGTGTGTGTGTGTGTCGGTGTGTGTGTGTGCGTGTGTGTGTACGCGTGCGTGTGTGTGTGTGTTTGTGTGTGTTCTGTGTTTCTGTGTTTCTGTGTTTGTGTGCTTGTGTGCTTGTGTGTCGGTGTGCTTGTGTGTTTGTGTGTTTGTGTTTTTGTGTGTTTGTGTGTGTGCTTGTGTGCTTGTGTGTTTGTGTGTTTGAGTGTGTGTGTGTTTGCGTGTGTGTGTATGTGTTTGTGTGTTTGCGCGTTTGTCTCTTGTGTGTTTGAGTGTTTGTGTGTAAGTGTGTTTTTGTGTTTGTGTGTTGAGTGTGTTTGCGTCTTTGGCGTGTTTGTGTGTCTGTGTGTTTGTGTGTTTGTGTGTTGTGTGTGATTGTGTGTTTGTGGCTGTGTGTTTGTGTGCTTATGTGTTTGTGTGTTTGTGTGTATGTTTGTGTGTATGTTTGTGTGTGTGTTTGTGTGTGTGTGTGTTTGTGTGTGTGTGTTTGTGTGCTTGTGTGTGTTTGTGTGTTTATGTGTTAGCGTGTTCGTGTGTTCGTGTGTTTGTGTGTTTGTGTGTTTGCGTAGTTGTGTGCTTGCGGTGTTGTGTGTGCGTGTTTTTTTGTGCTTGTGGGTTCGTGTGTCTGTGTGTTGTTGTGTATTTGAATGTGTGAGTGTGTGTGTTCGTGTGGTCTTGTGTTGGTGTGTGTTTGTGTGTGTGCTTGTGTGCCGTGTGTGATTGTATGTTTGTGTGTTTGCGTGTGTCTGTGTTTGTGTGTTTGTGTGTGTGTTTGTGTTTGCGTGTTTGTGTGTGGGCGTTTGTGTTTGTGTGGTTGTGTATTTGTGTGTGTGCTTGTGAGTGTGCTTGTGCTTCTGCTTGTGTTTGTGTTTGTTGCTTGTGTGTGTGTGTTCGTGTTTGTGTGTGTTTGTGTGCTTGTGTGTGTGTTTGTGTGATTGTGGTTGTCCTTGTGCTTGTGCTTATGTTTCTGTTTCTGCCTGTGCTTGTGCTTGTGTTTGTTGTTGTGCTTGTGTCTGTGTGTGGTGTATGTGGTGTGCTGTATGCATGAGATCGCTTGCGTAGTATCTGAAGGGCTTCGGTGGAGAAGAGCTCCTCGGCGCTCATAGTGTTGGTCGCAGCGGCACGGGTCCACGCCGCGGTCGGAGGCAGCCGAGGGACACCACGGGGCCTGACTGGGCACAGCAGGAAGGGAAGGTGCGGGCGCGGGGGCTTGGAGGCCTTTGGGGGGCCTCCTTGGGCCTCTTGGTGGCCTTCGGGGGTGTCTTGGTGGCCTCTGTGACTGTCTTACGGCGATCCTGGCCCGTCAGACGCCGTCGGATACCGTCTTAGGAGCCTCTCTGGGTCGTCTTGGGGGGCCGCTTCGAAGCCGTCTTGACGGCCATCTAGGGCGTCCTGGAGGCCTCGTGGGCCGTCTTGGGGAGAGGGCGGAGCACGCTCAGGGCATGGAGTCATTGTGCCGCACGGCAGGCACAGCGGTAAGGTGTGGACCGTTAGCGCCAGCACACGTTCTGACGATCATCGGACCATGCTCGCGGTCGACCGGCTCGGGCTCCCGACGGACGCGTTGAGAGGGCCGTTCTTGCAGCAGCTCAGCGGCTCTTGCGACAGCCTCAAGATGGGCGACTTGCGGCGGGTGCTGATGGCCCTCGCGCGGTGCTGGCAGGCGTCCTCCGTGCACCCAGAGTTGCTCGACGAGCTGTGCGGCTCCATCGTCGCCAAGTGGGAGGAGCTACCCGCGTGGCAGTGCGACCCGCGGAACCTGCTGGCGGTGCCCGCAGAAGATGAAGAAGAAGAAGAAGAAAAAGAAGACACATAAGGGGAATAAGAAGGAGAAGAAGAAGAAGAAGGATAAGAATAATAATAATAATAAGAAGAAGAAGAGGAAGGAGGAGGAAATTGCATTGGCATAAGCTGTCGGAGGTCCGCGAGGTTTTCTTGGATCGGGCTGGACCCCCTATCCCTGGCGCGCGAGCGCCGCCAGGGAGGGGGGGGGGGGGGCACAGCGCCAGCCCACGAGATCAGCTCGGACCTCCGGAAGTGTATGCCTATGCCGCTGGTGGTTCCGCTGAGGTGCCGCAACACCTTGGGCGCCTGCGCCACCCGCACCCCGAGCTGCTCAACTGCTCGGCTGGTGCCATCTCCGCGCTGATCTCCTCGAGGCTCTCGGTCCTCCCAGCGGACGCCCTGCGCTCGTTCGACGGGCTCCTGCTGCTCGCACCGCTCGTTGGGTCCAGCCTGGTAAGGCTCCGGGCTGCACGCAGACAGGCCCGGCCAGGTAGTCCTGGCTGACCTCAGCAGGCCCCTCGAGTAGCCCAGGGCTGCCTCAACACCTCAAGCCTGGGGCACGGAGCGCCCCAGAGGCGCCGGCGGAGGCGGCGCCAGGGTGTTGAGGCCGCCCAGACTACTCGGAGGGCTATCTGCGCTGGAGGGCAGAGTCGAGCTATGCCAAATACCGTCCTCACTTTCTGGCCACCAGGGTCTATAGACACACTGGGTGTCGCTACGTATATAGACACACCCGGGGCGGATACGTCTATAGACGACGCGGCCGTTGCGTTCGGCGCAGTGCAAGGTCGGAGAAAGCGTAGATCCGTCTGCGGTACGTTCCTGTGCTGCAGCAGGCCCCACATGGTACTCCAACGTCTGCGTACAACCCGAAGCCTTACCAGCCCAGCCTCGCGCAGCAGCAGGTGGAGGGCCTCGCGGCCAAGTGCCAACTGTACGCCGCGACGCTGCTGCGCCGCGCGAGCCCCGAGAACCTCTGGAGCACCGGCGGCCAGCTGCTGGCCGCGGGCGTGTCCGAGCGGCGCGTCTGGGCGGTGTGGGCGGCCGCGGCCGTGGAGAGAAGAAGCGGCGAGGGCGCGGCCCAGCTCGGGAGGGACGAGCAGTTCCAGCGGCACGCCGCCGCGGGGGACCCCTAGCTGCGTAAAATACTGCTGAGGAGAAGCACCCGGGCTCCCGGGCAGAAGCGGAGGAGCACGACGCCCTGCAGTGGTGCCCCGACGGCGGCGGGCCACTGGATTCTGCTTGCCCCTCCCGGCGGCAGCGCGTGGCCGGGGTGCGGCGCTCGCTGGCCAAGCGGTGGGGCGGCGGGGGCCAGGGCCTCCCCGAGGGGCTGGAGCTCTCGCTCCGCAGCCTGGCCCGCGGCGGGAGCGCCCCCGGCGCGGTCGGGAGCTGCGGCTCTGGGCCGAGGGCCCCTGCGGGCTGACAGCGCCGCCGCGGCGCCAAGCACCGACCGCGCCAGCCGCACGCTGGCGGCGCCGCCAGCGGTGAGAGTCAAACAGCGGCGGAGCGTCCTGACCTGCCCATGAGCCCAGCAGAGAATGTTCTGAGAACCTCTTGGGGCTTGCACGAGATGTTCTTGGAACATGTCTGGCTGAGATCGGCCTTCAACACATCGGCGTTATGTTCTGATGACTTCTTGTTCGGAGGAAATTTGTTTGTTCTGAGATTGCGAAGGCCTTACGGCCGGTGCCGCCGACCCTGAATGGCGACGACGACGACGACGACGACGACGACGACGACGACGACGAGCGCTCTTGGGGGCCTCTTGGGGGTAGTTTGTGGGCCTCTTGGGAAGCTCTGAGGGGCCGCTTGGAAGCCTCGTGGGGGCCTCTTGGGGCTTCCTGGGGGTCTCTTGGAGGGGGCCTGGGACGTCTTGGAGGCTTCTTGGACGGTCTTGGGGCTATCTTGGGCGTTTTCGGCCGATCTTTGGGCGACTCGGGGCCCTCTTGGGCCGTCTCGGGGGCCATCTTGGGCATTCGGACCTCATTTGGAGTGTTTTCGAGGTTTCTAGGCCGCCCGAGGAAAAACGAATCTGCCCCCCCACCCCCCCGGGACCCCCCCCCCCCTGGGGAAGGGATCAAAGGGAAGGGGCTTCCCTTCGACTCGATTACGACACTGCTAGATTTTTCTCTCGCTCATGAGCTTGAGAAGGAAGCTGCAGGGAAAGGGGACGACGGAGGCGACGACCGACGGAGACGACGACTCGGACAGCCAAGCCCCTCGCACACGCCGACAGGGTCGGCGGATTTCCCGGTAGGCCTATGGGAATGCCAAGATGGGCGGGCCAGCGGGGGCCCTTCCCTGAAGTCCTCCCGCTGCGAACGACACAACGTGAGGTTCTTGCTAATTTTCAGCCTCCAGGGCCCATCGCCGGGCCCTGGGACCGTCAGGAGGCGACTCGGAAAGAACAGCCAGTCCCCGAGGACGGGGCCCAGACCTTTGGGGAGCCACACCGTGAAGAAATCTCGACGTCGGGGGGGCGGCCCCGGCGCCTCCCCCACCCCCCCCGAAAGAGGAAGCGCCAGCTGAGGCGGCGACGTCCCACCCGCCCCCCTGGCTCGGCTCTTGGGGCCCCCCGTGTGGCCCCCTGCCCACCGCCTGAGCGGGCGCTCCCCAGGGCCCCAAAGCCCCCGCTCGAGGGCCCAGCCGACGTTGTCACGGTGGCCGCGCGTATGGGGGGAGGCAAAGGCCAGCCTGCCCTCGCGCCGGCTGCTTCTTGTCGTCCGCCGGGGTGGGGCCTTCGTCGCTCGGTGGGGCCCAGACGTACAGCAAGAAGCTGGATGCACGCGAGGCAGCCGCATACACGCGTGGCCAGATGCCTTGCCCTTCTGGCCGTGCACGCCAGATCTCCGCGTGTGCATCCAGCACGCGCTCTGTTCTCTCTCGCCGTCGTGCCTCATGTCGCTCCCGGTGCATCCCACCCCGGCCCCTTGCTTGACCCTCGTCTGACTGTCTTGGACCACTTGGCGCCTGCGGACTTGAAACATGTGCATCCAGAAGCGGCCTCCCGGTGTTCCGCATGTGGATCCAGCCGTGTGCAGCTGCAGCGCCTTGGTACGGACATGGCTGGCATGTCCACTGTGGTTTCTAGAGGGGTGCGTTGGCGCGTTCGGACTGGCTGTAAGTCGGGCCTGTCCATCTACAGGAGGAATATTCCAAAATAGGCAAAAAATAGTCTGGGGACGATTTTTGACTATGTTTGGATATCTTTGGAGTATTTTGGGGTATCTTTATTTTTTCGCCCAAAATCCGCCTGTAGGGGGACAGGCCCGACCTAATCCTGTGCTCGGTTCTCTCTGCTACACGTCGCAGGGGTCGGGCGCGACTCGGAGAGCCGCCGGCCATGGCGAGGTGCGCGTGGCGTCTGGGGGCCAGCCCTGCCACAACTGCGAAGCTGCCCTCGCGAACAGTGCCCCCCCTGGAGAGAGACTCGGGACCGCAGATCAAGGCTTCAGTCGGGCCTGTCCCTCTACAGGACGAATATTCAAAAATAGTCACCAAAAAAATAGTCAGGGGAGGATGTTTCGGCTATGTCTGACCATTCTGGAATAATTTTCTCGTATTTTTCAATGTTCGCCCAAAATTGGCCTGTAGAGGGACATGCCCGACCTAAATCAAGGGGCATTGCGTAATGCTCATGTTGGCATGGGCGCACGCCCTTCTGTGACTTCGAGGCTGCATGGCAGGGAGGAGACAGACCATGAGTGGTTCCCGGAGGTCCCGAACGGCCACGTATTGCGTCAGACTGGTTCTGATTCGCTGTGTGCAGTCGTACTTCGTCCTGCATCTTGCCACTGTCACGGTCTTGCCGATAACTCTTCAATTGCGAACAGATCCTAAGCAGAATGTGCACGGACACAGCGCGGCACGGCAAACCACGACACCGCGTTGTGCGGCACTTCACACGGCACGGCCCAGCATGGCACCGCCCCGCCGAATCACAAGTTGGAATCACGACATGTTCACGGTCGGGCCGCCATGGTCTACGACACAGGTTGCGCGCACCGTGGCACGGTTTGGTCTGCTCTGCGGAAGTTGTGTCGCAGGTGTCGCGCAGGCGAGCAGGCGGATTCATGGTTTGGTCCGCTCAGCGTGCGTGTGTGTATGTGTGCGGGCGTGTGTGTGTGTGAGAGAGATTGTGGGTGAGTGCGGGTGTGTCTGTGTGTGCATCTGTGTGTACATGTCTGTCGGCGTGTGTTGCTCCATAGGCCTCTTTTCACCCTGCATTCGTCGACGCTTCGCCGCTCGGCAGTCGACTACTCGCGATTTGTCCCGAGAGTTCCAGCTTTGTCCGCGCTCCGACACAAGCTGGGTGGTTGGCACGTTCCGACTCTGCCCGCGCTTCGACACGGTCCGACAGCGTAGCCCGTTCTAGCATTCTCGGATCTGTTGATTGCGTCCATCTGCGTATTGGAATAGATAGAAAGTGTTGCGCCGTAGGGTTCGCGCAAGCGGAGTCACGGTTTGACCCGCTCTGTCTGGGTTGCGCCAGATTGCACGCAGGCGGATTCACGGTTGGGTCCGCATTGTCCAGTTTATGATAGTTTAGACGCTTGCAGCATCCATTGTTTAAGTTTTAGTGATTTGATTCTGGAGTGTTTGGATGTTTACGTACATAATCTTCCTCCTCCTCCGTAGTCGGTTCCACACAGATTCGGTCGCACGCTTTGATTAAGAGGCTCAGGGCTCTCAGGCTTGCTTCATCGACGCGATTTGTCGTTGTGCGGTGCTGGGGGGGGGCCCTTTTTTGAGCCAGACGTACGTGTACTCAGGTACGCACACATGCCACAAGCAACGTATGCGTAAATGTGCATGCGCATGTATGGCACGTGTTTGATTGTGTGTGCGGGTATGCACGTGCGCGTGCGCGCGCGAGTGCGCGCTTCTTTCCCTCTGCCGCCCTCACACCTCGGCCCCCGCCACGCCCCGGCCGCCGATTCTGCCCACCCCCACACCCACACTCTTCCTCCGACGCGCCGGTGGGCTACAGCCAGCGGCGAACAAGTCGATCCGGCGCACTGCCGGGACAACGCGTCCCCTTCTGCGAAGACGTGCAGAGCACAGCGGGCCCCAGCAAGAGCCGGACATAGCCGACCGCTGAGCGGTAGGGTGCAGGCGACACGGGCCCGCGCACACACACTCTTTTGGTCCGCGGCGGCGGCAGCGGTCGCACCGCGGTCGGAGCGGCAGCAGGGCTGCGGAATTGTACACAACGACGAGGGGGCCGAAAGAGGGGCAGCCGCGGAGGCAGGAAAGGAGGAGGGCACAAACGCCCACACACAAACACACACACAGACACAAACACACACACAGACACGGACACAGACACAGGCACACACAACACACAACACAACACACAACACTCAGCACACAACACACAACACGCAACACAGAACACACACACACACAACACGCAACACCCAACACCCAACACACAACACACAACACACACAACACACACAACACACAGCACGCACAACACACAACACACAACACACAGCACACAACACGCAACATACAGCACACAGCGCACAAGACACAACACACAGCACACAACACACAGCACACAATTCACAACACACAACACACAACACACAACACACAACACACAACGCACAAGACACAACACACAGCACACAACACACAACACGCACCACACAACACACAACATACAGCACACAACACACAACACACAAGACATCACACACAACACACATCACACAACACACAACACAACACACAACACACAACACACAACACCTAGCACACAACACACAACACAACACACACACACAACACACAACACACAGCACACAACACACAACACACAACACACAACACACAACACGCACCACACAACACACAACACAACACACAACACACGCAACACTCAGCCCGCAACACGCAACACGCGACCCACAACACACAATACGCAACACGCAACATACAACACACAACATACAACACCCACAACACACAACACACAACACGCAACACGCAACACACAACACAACTCGCAACACGCAACATGCAACGCAAACAACACACAACACACAACACGCAACACGCAGCACAGCACACAGCACACAACACACAACACACAACACACAACACACAACACACAGCACACAACACACAGCACAACACACACTTCACACAACACACAACACACAACACACAACACAACACAACACAACACACAGCATACAACAAACAACACACAATACAACACACAACACACAACACACAGCACAACACACAACACACAAACCACAGCACACAACATACAACACACAACACACAATGCACAACACACAACACACAACACACAGCACACAACACACAACACACAACACACAGCACACAACACACAGCACACACAACACAAGACACAATACACAACACACATCACGCAAGACACAACACACAACATACAACACACACCACCCACCACACAGCACACAACACACAGCACACAGCTCCCAGCAAACAACACACAACACACAATACACAACACACAACACACAACTAACAACACACGCCACACAACACACAACACACAACACACAACACACTCAGCACGCACACACAACACACATAACACACAACACGCACAACACACACACACGCACCCACAACACACACAACACACACAGCACACACAGAACACACATAACACACATCACACACATCACGCACACAACACACACACAACACACAAACACGCACACAAATCACACACAACACCTAATTCACACAACACACAAAACACAGCACACACAACACGAAACACGCAACACACACACACAACACACACAACACAACACACAACACACAACACAACACAAACAACACACACAACACACACACACACACACAACTCACTCTCAACACACAAAACACACAACAAAACACACAACACACACACACAACACACAACACAACACACAACACACACACAACGCACAACACACACACCTACAACACATAAAGCCACAACACAGCACACACAACACACACAATACTCACAACACACAACACACAACACACAACACACAACACACACAACACAACACACACAACACATTCAACACACAACGCACACACACCACACACAACACACACACAGCACACAACACACAGCACACTCACAACACACACACACACAACGCACACAAACCGCACATCACACACAACACAAATACAGCACAAACATCACACACAAACTGCACATCACACACAGCACACGCAACACACCCAACACACACACACACAGCATACAACACCCACAATACACAACACACAACACACACAAAGCACACAACACACGCAACACACAGCTCATAACACACAACGCACACAACACAAACAGCACACTCAACACACTCACAGCACACACACACACACACCTACAACACACACAGACCACAACACACAACACACACAGCACACACAACGCAACACACAACACACACCTACAACACAGTCAGACCACAACACACAACACACGCAGCACACACACAACACACACGACACACAACACACACAACACACAACACACAGCACACACACACAAGACACAACACACCCACACCACACAACACACACAGCACACAACACACAACAGACACAAAACACACAGCACACCGCACACCACACACAGCACACCACCCACACAACACACCATACAAAACACACCACACACAACACACCACACACACAACACAACACACACAACACACAATACACAGCACACGCACATACACACACACAACAACAACAACAACAACAACAACAACAACAACAACAACAACAACAACAACAACAACAACAACACACAATATGCGCTCCGTGTGGGGTCGCGTTGCGTCGAATGGGTTTCCTCATTGAGTGGTGCACGCGCACACAAAACGAACAAGTCGCATGGTATGGACTGTTTTTGTAGCACACAAGTTCGTCCTGCACAGCAGCCACAGGAGCTCGATACCCCCCAAGGGACAAGTTCGTGTCGTGCTGAGTCTGTGATCTGCTCGGTTACTGTTCTGGCCTCTTGGCCCCCGCCCGCGCGCAGGTCGAAAGAACCGGCATACACCCGCAGCACACTGGAGCAGCGGAGCTGCCTCCGGCGGCCAGCCCAGGGTGGAGTGAGAAAGGCGGGCCTTCTCAGAAGGCTCAGAGGTCCTCAGGCGTCTGAGAAGTTGTCCCCGGCCTCCCCCAAGGCACAGAAGACTCCCCAGGAGGCCCGAGGTAGATCCCGAGAAGCCCCGCCGCCTCCCGAGAGGGCCTGCTCCCTCTCGCTTCCCCCCGCTGGGGCCCGACAAAAAGGATCGGCTTTGGCGCGCCCGAGCGCTTGCATGGGCGGAGCTGGGCTCCCTGGCGCGAGCGGCCGCGTGCAGCGGGACGCTCTGGCCACCAGGTTGGCGCCACAACAGTCCTGGTGATGATCATGGTGATGATGATGCGGAGGAGGAAGCAAAAAGGAGCAGAGGAGAGGGAGGAGGAGGAGGAGAGATCCTGCGCGGAGGGTGCGCAGGGAAAACAAGAACCCCACTTAGGATGTGGGGAACAAGTAGGAATGGACGGGGTCGATTTTACGTTTCTGGGGGCCCTCTGCGAACCCACGCGCGTGACTTCACGCTCGGCTCAACGCTGACACCGCGCAAATGCGGTGCCGAACAGAGTGCCCTCGCTCGCCGCCGACGGCTGTCCCGCGCCTGGCCAGGGCGGGGCCCCTCCCCCCGCGCGCATGGCGGCGCACGCTGGCCGCGCGGGGGCCGCCACGGCGCTGGGGTGGGCCTGCCGCGCACCGCGATCGCGGCTGGCGGGCGCCGCCGCCGCAGCCGCGGCACGAGGCAGCTCCGCGCGCCCGCTGGCTCAGAAGCTCGGCATCGTTGAACCGATCCCCACCCCCAGCCCCTGTGAATAGAACCCGTGTAATACCCTCATATGTACTCCTTATCCTCATCTCTCCTGCGCCTGGCCGTTTGGGCTCAGGTATTGGGACAGATCGATCAGACCTTTGATCGTGCAGGAGGGAAAGACATCCATCTATCCCTCCTTCCCTCTACCAACGGATCAGGGGTTCTGTACCCTTGCACTTCAACCCCATCCCCAGCCCCATCCCCTTCGAGACCCTCACCAAATTGCCACCGCAGTCGGAGACACACGCCTCGACAGCCGAAGGGAACGGCCCATGTCCCCATCTGGGGGGGGGTAAGTCTGCCAGTGGGGCCCAGGCCAGGCCGCTGGGGATGGGGATCGGTTAAACGATACTCAGAAACCCCAGTCGGCGGCAAGCGAGGGGAGAGGCGGAAGTGAGAGGGAAAGGGCCTTCTCAGAAGGCGGCGGGGTTCCTCGGAAGGCCTCCGGCCTTCCGAGACGTGCGTCTTCGGGGAAGGCTCAGAAAACTTCCCAGAAGGCCGGGGGACTTCCGAGCTCTCTGAGAAGGCCCGCCCCCTCCTCCTCCTCCTCCTCCTCCTCCTCCTCCTCCTCCTCCTCCTCCTCCTCCTCCTCCTCCTCCTCCTCTTCCTCCTCCTCCTCCTCCTCCTCCTCGGGTCGCCTACGGCCCCCGGGGAAACCGTGCACTGGCCTCTTGTCGAGGGGGCGGCGCGAGGGCGGACCACTCGCAGGGACTTCCCCCCAGGGCTCGCGGCCGAGACCAGCAGGTGGCTGATTTGGCAGTTCTGTCGAGTGGCACAGCATGGCATAGGCACGAGCTTTCGGAGCTCCGCGCAGACTTCTCGGGTCGGCGGTGGACCCCCCTCCTGGGCACGCGGACGGCGCGAGGGCCGGCGCCCGAGGAGCTGCCAGGGTGGTCCAGCGCCGACCCAGGGAAGCCGCGCGGAGCTCCGGAAGCTTTTTCTACGCCATGTTCTGCCGCTCGAGAAGACCAGCGAATCGGCCACCAACTGGTCGGAAGGTGTGGAAGGTGGAGAGCCAGGGAGACCTCCGACGTGTTGAACAGGTCCCCAGTGTCGACCTCGCAGATGCTCATTTTCCGAGTGCCAGGGCGCCCGAGCCCGCACTTGGCCCACAGAGCCCGCGGAGCCAACAGAGCTCTCCAGCCCACCTGGAGGGGTGCCATCTTCGTAATGGTCACTGCTTTTTGATGGCATCGGCGGACGAAGTGAAAAAACAATACGGAGGCTTTGCGCCGCTTCGGGCCTCCGGAGGCCCTCGCTGGGCCGAGAGGCCGTCTAGAACGGGGCTAGGACTGGGGGAAAAATCGTTCCAGCGCCTTCCCGAAGGGTTTTCAGAGCATGCCGGAGCGCTTTGGAACGGCAGCGGCGCCCGATGCATCTTCCAGAACCGCTGGATCTCAGAGATACCAGATCTGTCCCAATCCGATGTTGTTGCCGTCGTGGCCTCGTCTTACCGCCAGACATCGGTTCGGGACGAAGACTTGGCTCGGGGAGAGTAGTCCGTCCTTTCGGGGATTTCCGCCCTGCGGAGGGGGGCCTCGTGTTTGGGGGGGCACTCGCCACCCGCGACTGCGCGGCCATCTTGGGGGTGGGGCCCACGGGGTCTTTCTGGATGCCTTCGGAGAATCGGCGTGGCCGCGAGTGCGACGGCGGGGGGCCCGACGGATAAGCCAGGAGGTACAGCAGGGCTCAAGTCCAGCGGTGAGCGAGGGCGGACCGCTCGATAGCAGAACGAATTCAAGCTGGACTGAACTTAGGCAAGCTGAGCGACGCGAGGCGAGGCTGAGAGAGACCAATATATACGTATAGATATGTATCAATACATACATGCATGCCTACTGACCGACCGACCTCTATGCATGCATACATACATGCATGCATACATACATTCATACATGCAAGCGAGCAACCAAAGGTCTAGGCATACATATCGGAATACCAACCTACCGACCTACCTACCTACATACCTACATGCATGCATACATACGCATGAACATGCATCCATACATACATACATATATACATACGTGCATGCATACATGCATACATACCTGTATACATGTATGCATACATACATCCGTCCATGCATGCATATATATATATATATATATATATATATATATATATATGCATGCATGCATATGGACATACAGACAGACATACATGCATACGTGTGTATATATATATATATATACAGACATGCATACATACAGACAGACAGCATGCATGCATGCACACATGCATAAATACATACATGCATGTATAGATACGTACGTACATATGTACACACGTGCACACGTACTTACGCACATATACACCGACATACACAAATACATATGTACATGCGTATCGCCATACCTGCATGCAAGCATCTATACACACATATAAATGTACATGTTTGCGCATCGACCTACCTGCCTACATACATGCATGCGTGCATGCATGTATACAGACAGACATGCATGCATACATCCATGCATGCAATCATATATGTATACATGAATGCATGCATACATGCACGAATAACTATATATGCATATGTCTGTAACTACGTATGTGTATTATATGATCCAGGGCTCCGTGCCCACGGCCCCCACCCCAGATGGGTCTCAGGGTTCTTCGGGCCCCCCTGATGGGATGAGGGGGGACGACGACGACGACGACGAAGATACCGTCCGCTCCGGCTCCCTGAAGCACCGCAACACCACGCCACACCCAGCGGGAGGCGACGACAGGGAAGACATTTTCCCTCCCTGTTCATGCCTAGGATGACGATGCAGGTGCCGATGCCGATGCCGACGCTAATGTCGTCTTCCTCCTCCTCCTCCTCCTCCTCCTCCTCCTCCTCCTCCTCCTCCTCCTCCTCCTCCTCCTCCTCCTCCTCCTTTTCCTCCTCCTCATACTCATCCTCTTCCTCCTCCTTCACCTCCTTCTCCTCCTCCTCCTACTACTTAGGAGGGCCCGACCACTACCACCACCACCACCGCCACCACCCACCACCCCACACCCACGGGAGGGAGGGGGGAGGGCCAGACCCCATGCCCACCACCGCACGCCTCTTTGGGAAGACTCCACCACACCATGCCCACATGGGGGGGGGGCCATCGCGCGGGGGGGTGGGGTGGTGATGTCACCAACATGATATATGTATATATATATAAATATATACATACATACATACATATATATATATATATATAGCCAGGCTGTGCGGCGGCAAGGCAGGTGAGAGGCCGGGGGTTTGCAGGCAAGTTGTAGCACGGCAAATATAACAGTGC